GTCTCTTCTTTCTCCCTGTGGCTGCCACATTCAGTGTCTTCATACCTCCCTCGTTCCCCTTCTCGTCACCCTCCCCTCTGGGCTCTCACTCTGAACGTCAGTCTCTGCATCTCTCTCAGTCAGGGTTTTACTTCTGTCCTTTCAAAGTACGTTTACCTGAGCTGATGAGACCTGAGTCCCTGGGGGTGCCAATGGGGAATGCGCTCGGCTGCTGACTGGAAGATTGGAGGTTCAAGTCTACCCAGAAGCACCTCGAAGAAAGGCCTGGCAATCTACTTCTGAAAAATAAGCCATTGAAAACCCGGTGGAGCACAGTTCTACTCTGACACACACAGGGGGTCCGTGAGTTGGAGTCAACTCAATGGCTCCTGGTTTGTGGTTTTTCCTCTAGTCCCACTGTGGGGGCTAAGGGCCTCCTCCCTGTTCACTGGGGGCCTGTCTCAGAGGGAACCTGATTAGACCACTTCTGCGTGGCACATGTCCTGGAGGCCTGGTGTGGTGGCTCCATCTGTCTCCCCTGCGGCCTGGGCATGCTGTCCCTCTGAAAAAGCAGGACAACTGACTGGAAACCCTAATGGGTTCAGCTACTGTTGACCAGCAATCCACAAAGCTTTAGTCCTCATCAGGATAGAATGTTTTCTTTATAGTTAAGATGTAATGCTGCATTTGAAGCATAATTTTATGGGAAATACATTATGAGACTAGATGAGGGTTTAACGCCTGACAGTTCCCAAGGCATGAGGGCACTGCTTGGACAGGACCAGACCTGGCACGTGACAGGCCACAGCTCACTCTCAGGAGGCCAGGTACACTGAGAGCAGGGAACCTTGCCAGAGTCCTGGGAGGACACTAGAGTGTGCTCCTCTCAGGTGACGAGACAGCAGGGATGACGTCATAGCCAGCCAGCTCAGCTTGGTCCCTGTGTGCCCAGCCAGGGCTCCCGCCTCTTGTCTGCCCAGTAAATGCCACCTCCAGTTAGAACTGACTTCTCACTTCTCTCTGGTCCCACAGAAGTTCCTTACACACTTCTTCACGCTATATATAAAACTATATTCGTGTACCTTCTCGTCCATGGGACTGGAAACTTCTCGCAGTCAGGAGCTTGTCGTAGCCCCTCAGGTACCCCTAACACCAAGCGGGGCGCCCAGCACTCCTAGGTGTTCCGTCAGCATTGGCCAAACTGGACTGAATGCACATTAGCCAACCTGGTCCTCTCTTAGAAGCTCAGTACCATGGGGTCCAGTCCCAAACCTGTGCGGAGGTGAGAGAAAAACAGGCTGCCCAGAGGTCTACAAAGCTTCTGGCTTCTCTCAGTCATCTCCCAAGGCATCCTATGGCCATGAGCCTTTAGTAAGTCTATGATTTCTTGTCTGGTATTTGGTAAGGATCATTTGGACCCACGCTCAAACTGGCCCAGGTACTCACTTCAGATTTGGTGGTCTGGAGGATTTTACTCTACGTGGTTGTCGTCAGGTGCCGTCGAGTCAGTCCCAACTCATAGCAACTCTACGTACGACAGAAAGAAACACTGCCCGGCCCTGCGCCGTCCTCACAGTTGTTATGTGTGAGCCCGTTGTTGCAGCCACTGTGTCAGTCCATCTCACTGAGGGTCTTCTCTTTTTGGCTGACCCTCTACTTTACTAAGCATGATGTCCTTCTCCAGGGACTGGTCCCTCCTGTTAACGTGTCCAAAGTAAGTGAGACAAACTCTCACCATCCTCGCTTCTAAGGAGCTTTCTGGCTGTACTTCTTCCAAGACAGATTTGTTCATTCTTCTGGCAGTCCATGGTATATTGGATATTCTTTGCCATCACCATAATTCAAAGGCATCAATTTTTCTTCAGTCTTCTTATTCATTGCCCAGCTTTCACATGCATATAAGGCGATTGAAAATATCACGGCTTGGGTCAGATTTGGTGGCCTGGAAGATTTCACTAGATAAGTATATGAAAAAAAAACCAGTTGCTGTCAAGTCAACTCCAACTCATGGTGACCCCATACGTGTCAGAGTAGAGCTGTGCTCCATAGGGTTTTCAATGGCTGATTTTTTAAGTACATGAAGAGGTGTTAAATGATTGTAAAGATGGTGGTCTATCTATATTTTACCAGTAGGAAAACAAAGGCAAACATACTTCTTGTTCTAGCATTGAATTCCATACTTGAAGTATGAAAACTTTTTTTTTTTTTTGCCTTTGAGATTTCCAAGTTTAATAGTTTTATTGCACTTGGATTTGGGGCAACCATAAGTGTTCCATATGTCTCTGGGTAGCACAGACAGTTCCACTTGGCTACTAACCTAAAGGTTGGCAGTTCAAATCCACCCAACAGCTCTGTGGAAGAAAGTCCTGGCAAACTGTTTCCATGAAGACTGCAGCCAAGAAAACCCTAGGGGCCGTTCTACTCTGTACCACATGGGGGTCACCACGAGTTGGAAACAACTCGACGCCAGTGGGTTTGTGTTTTTTCCCACTCTGTTACAGCAGGTGAGAATGCCGGTTCTGGCAACACACAAGCCTTGATTTACACCTGCCCTGGGGTTTTGTCATGAGCCGACGCCCCTCCCCCTGCCTCTGACCGGGATTACAGCCCTTGCTCAGGGAGGGACTTGGTGGAGCTGCCCCTGCCTGGTCCCAAGGAGCCTGAGACCAGCCTGATGTCCTGTCTCTGCAGAGCAGACACTTCACCTGGCCACATCCTGTCTTTGTGTTGGCTGAGAGCCAGGATGCCTGAGTTGTACCAGGAGGGATGCAGCCGGGACAGAGCTGGCTCTGAGTGTACAGACCATCATCCTCCAGCAGAACCTCAAGTGAAGCAGGAAGCCAGTGAGAGAGGAACTCACAGGGCACACTTCGTCTTGAGAAGCAGCAAGAGGAAATGTTTGGTGGCACTCTGCAGTTTCGTCATCATTGGAAAAAAAATATCCGTTATAAATCTTCTAGTATAACACATGAAAATCAGTGCAGCTTTCAATTTAGAAAGCGCAAACACACGCTCATCTTCTTTAAGCCTCCCAATAACTCAGTAAGTGAAGTATGACAGGTATTATTCACATCCTAGTCACAGAGATGAGCAGGCCCCACAACACATGGGGGTGTGCCGGGCTCACACACAGCGCGTGCAGGTGTGCCCAAGCTCCCCACAATGTGTGCAAGTGTGCACGACTCAAGTACGGCGCATGGTGATGTGCCCATGCTCCCCACAACACATGCAGGTGTGCCCGGGCTCAAGCACAACTGCGTGCGGGTGTGCGGAAGCTTCCCGCAGCCCGTGCCGTGCAGGTTGCCCGGCTCACGTGCAGCGCGTGCAGGTGTGCCCAAGCTCCCCACAACGCGTGCGGGTGTGCCCCGCTCACGCACAGCGCGTGCGGATGTACCCAAGGGCCCCACAAGGAAGAGGCAGCTTCAGCACCGATACTGCCTGCGCTGCCCACTACAGAGCGCTGCAGCGCCCACAAAAGCCTGGTCTCCAGCAAACCCGGGGGGGTCTGACCTCAGCTATGACCTGGACGCAGTGTGGACTTAATGCCCTCGCCCTCTCCACCTATGATCGCAGAAATAGCCTATCGCCGGTATTAATACATTTGATTCAGCCAAAAGGATACATCCACACACGGATTTTTGCAATCTGCCCTGCAAAAGGGCGATACCAGACAGGCACGGCGCATCAGGGCTGTCTTTGGAGGTGGTGGTGGTACTAAGTGATGCGCTCGGCTTCTCTATACCTAAACCCAGCACGTGGCCGCAGCGCAGGAGTAAACCCAGCAGGCTGCACAGAGCCACGAGTCCGCAGACCCGGGGCTGCCTGCACCCTTCGGAGCATTTCTGGAAAAACGCGAAGAATGTGCGTTTCCCTTTAAGGCCAGTGCCCTCTGTCCCGCAGCCGGCAACCGGCCAGGAACCCTGCCTGGACCAGGCGCCCGGTCTCGGGGTCCCCTGTGCTCGGGCTGATCAGTCGTCTGTGTGGGTAATCTTCTGTTGCGGGCCCGGAGGTCTTTGTTCTCCAGCCCTGGGAAGCGGGGCTCCCCACGCCCGCCGCGCGGCCCATCACGTGGGGACCCCTCGGCATCACCGGCAGAGAGGAGGGGACTGACGAGGCGCGCCCCGGGCTGTGCGTGTGGAGCCCCGCGTCCCGCAGTCGCCGCCGGAGTCAGGGGAACGGTGGAGCGGGGCCTCGCTGTGCCACGCTGATTTTCACTGTTTTCGAAATCGTTTGCTAATTAGCAATTAAAGTTTTGTCCAGCACTGAAAAGCATGACCGCAAGTGTACGTGTGCGTGCCTGAAGGAGAGACAAGGAGGCTCCTGGGCTGGAAACTGCGCCGCCGGCAGGGGCGCGGGCTGCGGTGCCCACCCAGTGCGTCTGCAGGCGGCCTTGCAGGACCCAAGCGGCAGTCGCCGGCTCTGAACGCTCCTCGGTGCCGCGCCCG